TTTGATTCAAAATATAATATGATAGCACTATGTTTTTCAATGGCTTCACTAAAGAAATATGAGAGGACATCCCCAACCCACCCTTTGGGGAGGTGGACAGGTGTTGTACATTGCATATGTTTTCAGACTTTTCAATGTGTCAATCAGTAGTACTGATTTTTTTTCCCTCTTTAAAAATACCATTTGTTATATGGGCTGGTGCTCTGGGACAGGGAGGGAGAGGGCTACTTGGAACAATTAGGATGATGTAAGAAATAGAAGACATCAATAAAAACTTATTTTAAAATGACTTCATTAGATGACATGGTGAAAAATAATAATCCCCTTAAATCATGGGTTCTTAACCAGAGGTCTATGAACTTAAAAATATATTTTAATAATTGTATTTCAATATAATTCACTTCTTGTATAAATCTATGCATTACATATTTAGTAGAATTATTTTGAGAATCGGTTCAAAAGTTTCACCAGGTTGTCAAAGAGGTACATATACAAAAAAGTTAAGAACTTTTTTATGTAATTCAAGTACTCTTTTTCCTGAAAGAGTAGTGGATTTGAAGTGAGGAGAACTGCATTAAAATTCTCACTGCAAAACTTAGATCTTGAAAAAAAATCACACTGTCTCTGAGCCTTATTTTACTCATTTGTCAAATGGGAATAATATTACTAATAATGCAGGTAGGTAATACAGCTGAACAGTGCCCTAGACTTGAAGTCAATGAACATTTAAGTGTCTTCTCTGTGCCAGGCACTGTGCTAAATGCCAGGGATACAAAGAAAGGCAAAAAACAGTCCCTGACCTCGGGGAGCTTATAATCTAATGGTGGAGACAAGAAGCAACCAACCATGTTCACACATGCTCTATCCAGCAGAAAGGCACTAGCATTGAGGGGGATTGGGAGGAGCTTCCTGTACAAAGTGAGACTTTAGCTGAGACTTGAGATGAGGAGGCAGAGAATGCCTGGCATGAGGGACAGCCAGTGAAAATGCATGGACTAGAGAGATGGAGTCAGGAAGACCTGAATTAAAATCCAACCTCAGACTCTTACTAGCTGTGTGACCTACCTTATGTAAGTGCTGTTTGCCTCAGTTTCTTCATCTGTAATAATAACACCTACCTCCTAAGATAACAATCTTGGATCAAATGAAATAATATTTGTAATGTGCTTTGTAAACTTTAAATGCTATATAAATACTAGCTATTATTATCATCATTGTTATTGTTATACTGCCTATCATTAAAGCACTATTGTTATTATAAAGATTACTATAAACTCAGATTATATAGCCTTTCTTACAGGTACTTTGATTGCTATCATTATAACTTTAAAAGAAAGGGACCAGAATCTTGGTGACTGACAGGTAGCTGCCCTGGCTGAAAGAATCTAGTCTATGAAGGGTAATGAGATCCCTGAGAAAAATTTTTTCCCTGAGGATACTTGGAGAGTGAGCTATTATTTTTGAGAATCTGAAGAGACATTTTGAGAGGCTCTCATTCTGTGCAGGAGACATTATGAGGAGAATTCCAAAGAGACCTTATCTGACCTCCTGAGAAAACTGAATTGTTCATCTATGATTCTGATGTTTTGAGAGGTGTAAGCAGATGCTGCCGATGGGGAGAGCTAACCCTTGTTGTGACTTTTCTTCCGGCCAATATTTTGAAGTATTTTCTTATTTCTATATTTTTGTTTTCTTTCTTTTTTAAATTTTTAAATTTTTTTTTATATTTTTGGTTATTGCTGTCAAATGCTCTATCTCACAGCAATGTGGTTCCCCTCCCTGCCCTATTGTTGGTTATTTTAAATAAATAACATGGCTAGCAATATTAATATTTGTCTAAGTCTAGAGATTCATGTTGGATACCAAGAGAAAAGAGAAATCTTATTGGAAAAGGCATTTGTCTAGTTTATATAAACTAGTGTGGAAGCTTGGAGATTATTAATTAAAGAGATTTTTGCATTGTAGGCAATTTCTGAGCATAAAGGGAATAGAATAAAAAGAGCATTATTAAATGCTTATTACGTGCAAAGCACTGTGCTAAGTGTTGGGAATACAAATAAAAAATTGAAATAGCCCATGTTTTCAAGGAGATCATATTCTAATTGGCAGGGTAAGCCAAATTTTTTTTGGATATAAAATAATTTTCAGATACAAATAATTTTGCTTAAGGAAAGGGGTCAAAATAAACCACCAAAAACAAAGCACTGACAAGGCTCAGGTATCTTAAGTATCTTGTTTTTCAGCATCTAATTTGTATGCAATTGACAAGAGGACTCCCAAGTTAATATCTGGGGATTGTTAATATCTAGAGTTGTTTGGTGACCACGGCACAAGTGTATATTGCCTAGTTATGGCGTGGATGTCAGAGGACTTTGGTTTATCATCAGGAGATACAAGTGGGCGACCCAGCCTTGGACTAGTGATGTAACTCAGCTCAACTCTAATAGAATTCTACTCCAAAGCTGATCTCAGCAGAGACTTTCAATCCAGCCTGGGAAGAGACCTTAGAGCTTACACTGCCACCTGCTGCACGGAAGGGCTGACTGCAGGGAGAAGGGGCTTTGCCTTTGCTCTTCCCTGCACTGCCCCCTGCTGCTGGAAAGATGGAAATGCTCAGAAGAGGAGGTGGCCGGATGAGCAAGTCAATCCTTTGGGAGAGCAGCAAGAGGGTCAGGTGTCAGGCCAATGCCACATAACTCCTCCCTTACGTTGAGACTCAGGAGATAATCAATGAGTAACAAGACAAGTAGCAGGCTGAGGATTGGGGGTGGGGGGCCTGTTTGTTCCTAAGGGTCCTTAAAAGGCAATGCTCAGCAGCCTTTGCTGCCATGATACACACTCACAGCCCATGGGATTGCCACATAGAGGGATGGGTTTAGCAATAAAAAAAAAATCCTGCTACAAGTAGGAGAAATGTCTCATAGCGTGTGGGATCTCCTGCCTCTTCCACGTGGGATGAGTATAGCATAAAACATATTATACTATTATTATCTTGTTCAGTAGGGTTCAGATATAAACTTTTATTGTTGTCATTGAGTTAAGTCCTGTCTGATTCTTCATGATCCCATTTGGGATTTTCTTGGCAAAGATACTGGAGTGGTTTGCCATTTCCTTCTCCAGCTCATTTGATAGATGAAGAAACTGAGGCAAACAGGGTTAAGGACTTGCCCAGGGTCACACAGCTAGGGAGTGCCTGAAGCTAGACTCATACTCATGAAGATGAGTCTTCCTGATTCCAAGCCCACCTATCCACTGCACCACCTAGCAGTTCTATGAGAAGTCATTATCTCTTCTTTTAGGTCTCTATATTTTGACAGCCTCTTCTTTCATGTTTGGGATTATAAGTACTAGATATTGTGACATCTATTAAAAATATCATTCATAAGATGAGGGCCTACACCAGGGTGGAGGCAGTATCTGAGGATAAAAGGGAATGTATTCAGGAGATGTTACGAACGTAAAATCAACAAGACTTGGCAACTGGTTGGATATGGGACAGTGGGAGAGAGGAGTCCAAGATAACACCCCACATGTGAGCCTGAGTGACTGAGAGGATGGTGGTGCCCTTGACCATAACAGGGAAACTTGGATGTGCAAAAGGTTTAGTATAAAGATAATGAGTACCGCTTTGACATGTTGAATTTAAGACATATACAGGATATCCAGTTAAAAATCTCTATCAGGCAGTTGGAGATGTGAGACTGGAGGTCAGCAGAGGCTGGGCCTAGATAAGGAGATTTGAGAATCAGCAGCATAGAGATGATTATTGAATCCATGGAAGCTAATGGGATCACCAAGTGAAATAGTATAGAAGAGGAGAAAATATTCCAGGACAGTCCTATAGAACATCTATAGTTAGCAGGGCATGACCTGGATGAAGATCCACCAAAGGAGAATGAGAAAGGTCACTCAGATGGAGAACCAGGAGAGAGGGGTGTCCCAAAAACCTAGAGAGAAGAGAGTATGAAGTAGGGGAGGATCAATGACACTTCACTGAATTCAATTCAATTCATGAATTCAATTGAATTTATCAATTGAAAAATGTTGAGCATCTTTCAACAGGGCTTTTGCATCTAGCCAATTGGCAGTTAGATTAGGTTTTTGGTTTCCTTCACTTTGTTATTTCTTCTTCAATTGGAATATCTCACATTTGACTGTGTTTATTTGATGGTCAAGTTTTGTTAATATTCTCTGAATACCAAAGACTTTCCTTGAAACTTTGCCTTAAAATTTAGAAAACAGAGACCTCATACCATAGCTTATTTTTCACCAATGATTCCTTGAACATAAGTTTCTTTCTACAGTAATTACTTTGAATGTCCAAAACATATTCTGGAACATTTAGTCTGCAATTCTAACAAAAATCAGTTCTGTTTTTTTGATGGCATCTTGACTATGACATTCCTGTGACAATGCATTTAGACCAGAATGTTCCTGTGATGATTTATGATGACTTAATTAAAGATAAGATCATTTTTACTGTCTTCTCTGGTTGATCCATGTAAAACTAAGGTATCCAAGAAGTCCTGGATGGAGAGTCTATCTTGCCAATGCAAAGGGGCCCTAATAAAATCCAGATGGGCCCCCACAGAGTAGCATAGGTATATCACCTGAACCCCCCCTTCTCTTTTTTCTCTAGGTTGGCCCACTCACCCCTACCCATATTCATACTAGCAGGTTGGAAGGTTCCCAAAGGGGTGGCCACATTGCTCAGACTTATGCTTTATGGATATTAGGCGTAAACACTCCTATTTACTATAGCCCCTGAACATCAGAAGCATTTACTGAATGGAAATCAAAGCACAACAGTAGAAAATTTCACCTGTAAAGTATTGATGGCTTTCTGAAGACACTTATTAAAAGGAAGCTGCTACCTGAGCTCCAATTCAACTATTCCAAGGTCTCTCTCTGCCCTCCCATTTTTTTCTAAACAGGGTGGTAACCGAGTGGCCACCTTTATTTGTATATTTTAAAACCACATTTGTTTAACTGTTTTCTAGATTCACCTGAAATGCTGAGAGGAATCAGAAGATGCACACCATTTTCCTCTTGTAAACTCTCTGGACCTTTGAACAATTTCCAAGGTCTCTTCACATTTTCCACCCTTGACATATGCACTGGTATCATCGTCATAGGACAGTTAATGGGCAGGTCCGCCATCTGCATGAACAAGAGCCAGAGTGATTTGGGTTTAAGGCTTACTGAGTAGCTCCATTTGAATCCCAATGGGTCTTACCAAAGCCTGATTTTTCTAGAACTCTACTTCAAGAAATCCACTTTCTTTTGAGCAGAACACCCACATGTAAGTACATGATTCTCCATGTGGACAGAGGCAGGGAGGGAGGGAGGAGGGAGGGAGGAAGGAAGAAAGGAAGGAAGGAAGGAAGGAAGGAAGGAAGGAAGGAAGGAAGGAAGGAAGAAGAAGGAAGGAAGGAAGGAAGGAAGGGAGGAAGGGAAGGAAGGGAGGAAGGGAGGAAGGGAGGAAGAAAGGATTGCCCAAGTGGAACTGGACAGTTGAGTCCCCAGTGGGGTAGCCAATACTACTTATAGATTATTGTTTGTCCTTGTTCTTGAGGACCAATGGCATCAGGAAGGTGGGTTTATTTATATTAAGAGAACCAAAGATTTAGAGATGAAAAATACCTTAAAGACCACCAAGTTCCAGCTCAAAGAGATTAAGTGATTTAGGGAGGATCCTTTAGACAGCAAGTGTGTGAGGCACAATTTGAACTCGGATCTTCCTGATTCTTCGCCCAACAAACCACCTAGCTGCCTGATGTGTTTTCTCCCCCATTGGAATGGTAGTTCTTTGAGAGAAGCAACTTTAAAAAAATTTTACCCCAGCTCTAGCACAGTGGTTAATTAGCACATATGATGTACTTAACAAAGGCTAGTTGACCAATAATAGTAGTAATAGCTAGCATTTATATACTGCTTTAAAGTGCTTTATCAAACATTTGATCCTTACAACAACTGTAGCTATTATTATTACTCCCATTGTACAGATAAGAAAACTGAGACTTAGAGAAGTTTTCAGGGCTTGCCTAGGGTCACCTGGCTAGTAAATATTTCAGGCAGGATTTGAACCTAGGTCTTCCTAACACCAAGTCCAGCTCTTTATCCATTGTGCCACCTGGCTGCCTTAATGAAGAGACTGATTAAAGCGAGTTAAGAAGACTAGATCACATTTCTAGATGTAACCCAGCAGAGACCACTTTCTTGCTGGTGTCACTTTCCTAAAAGTGTGAACCGTAATTCTATGAAAGTCACAGCAGAAACATTGGAGGAACAAAATTAAATATGAATAAAATATTTATTAGTCCAGCCAAGGAAGGCTGAATTGTTGGCTGAGCGGTAGACATATTCACAGAGTTTGGAGAAAAGCAAGCTGCCGGACGAACACTCAGTGAAGCCAGGAATTACATTATACTTTTTAACATTGGGAAAGATGGGCTGGAAAAAATACCAAGGGGCTGAGCAAAGAGATTCAATGTGAACTGAAGGGACAGAGTGAAACTCTAACAGCAGACGAGCAAATAGATGCTAGAGGGGAAGCTGAGCTTTTCTGCCGAGTTAGTCCATCAATCAGTCAATCAACATGCATCTATTTAGCACTTACTATATCCCCAGAATTGTATGAAGTGCTATGTATACAAAGGCAAAACACAAATAGTCCTTACCCCCAAGAATCTTACTTGAGGGAGACAACACATACATATGTGCATGTATGTATAGGTGTCTACATGCACAAAAGCATGTGCATATACACATATATATGTGTGAGTACATGTATGTATCAGTGCAGTGAATAGAGCACCAGACCTGGAGGCAGGAAGACCTGAATTCAAAGCCAGCCTCAGACCCCTACTATCTGTGTGACCCTGGACAAGTCACTTAACCCTCTGCTGAGAAGGAAATGGCAAACCACTCCAGTATCTTTGCCAAGAAAACCCCAAATGGGGTCACAGTCAGGTATGATTGAAAATGACTGAACAATCAAACTGCCCCCTTACAGTAAGTGACAAGACATCTGATACCTTTGTTAGGTGAGAATCTAGTTTGGCTGCTGGCTAGGCATGAACAAATCCTAGATATGACAGGGATTTTGTTGGTATTGGACAAAGGATTTGGTCACATCCTATAGTGAGCTGGTATGGAACAGAGGCTCTGAGGGCTTACAGCCTCCTGGTAGAAGTCTCTAACTCAGCCCCAGAGAAGGAATCCCTTGGTGAGGGGAGGAGATTGACGTGGCCCCCACCTCGGCCTCCATCTTCCCATCTACGGCCACAGAAGGATCCCATGAACTGGGGAGGACCAGAGGACTTTGACCTTCCCTTGGTGCCCCAGAAGCGTCCACGGGACAGCGGCAGCTACACTGGGAGCTGAGGACAGACAGACTGACTGGTGGTCAAAGGCACGTTCGAGGCTCTAAAGAAGCCTAGCAGAAAAGAGAAAGACCATGAGGACTCCAGCAAAATACCCAGAGAGTTGTGCTACCCCTTTGACGTACGTGCTCCCTATGCTTGAGCCCACTTTCCCCTAGACTCTGCATGTGCTTGGGGGAGAGTATGTCACAAACTTTTAGACAAGATGTTTTGTACAAACTACGCTTCCATAGTAAACACCTGTTTCCAAAAGCTAATTCATTTTGGCCAACTAATTGATATAAGCTGATTTTAGGAGGGAAAATCGTACTGTTGGGGGCTTGTGGACAATAGTATTATGGAGTAGCCTCTGGGGACCCTCAAGGTTAAACCTGGAGTCCTGAATAGATGAATAGCTATGTCTGGGGACCCAGCCTGCCAGAATGAGCAGAGGTTGGGAGAGCGTCTCCTGAGCACGTACTATATACGTAAATAGGTACACACAACATAAACACAGAGGAGATAATCCACCAAATAGCATCACATTCTTAGTCATTTTGATGATGCCTTCCATACATCACGGACTCCTTTTCTTCTGTCATCATCTTGGTGTAGACCCTCATCACCTCTCTCCTGCTTCCTTTCTACTCCAGTCTATCCTCCGCTTGGCTGCCAAATTAACCTTACTAAAGGAAACCTCTGACCATGTCACTCTCCTAATTCAATGTACTCCATCAGCTTCCTATTACTTCTAAGGTCATATAGAAAATCCTTTGTTTGACTTTCAAAGCCCTTTACAATCTGGTCCCTTCCCACCTTTCCAGTCTTCTTACACCTTATACTCTGCAATCTAACTACACTGGCCTCCTCACTATTCCTCAAACAGGACCCTCCATCCCCCAACTCTGAGCATTTTCTCTGGCTCTCCCCCATGCTTGGAAATCTCTCTACCCTCATCTCCATCTCTTCCCCTCCCTGGCTTCTTTCAAATCCCAGCTAAAATCCCACCTTCCAGAAGAAGGCTTTCCTGATCCTCTAATAATGATAATCCCTTTCCTCTGAGGCTACCCCAATTTCTCCTGACTATATCTTATTTGTCTCCACCATTAGACTGTGAGCATCTTGAGAGCAGGGACTGGTTTTTGTTTTTAAATGACAACCAAATTCATATAGGTAGTGACAGAAGCCAGGATTTGAACTCACTTTTTTTTTTTTGGTGAGGCAATCGAGGTTAAGTGACCTGCCCAGAGTCACACAGCTAGTAACTGTCAAGTGTCTGAGGCCGTGAACACATCTTCTGACTACCCAATCCGTGTGTTTTCCCTGATATCACAATATTTCCCACACTCTCTTTAGGTCAGAAGTCAGAAAATCTGGGTTTAATCCCAGATCTTTAAACCCAAATTCGTGTTTTTATCCTACGCCTGTATGTCTTTGGACAAATGCCTGTATCTCTCTGAGCCTCAGTTTCCCCTGTGTTAATTAAGTTAATGGAGTAGACGCCCCTAAGATTTCTTCCAGGTTTAGTATTATAGCCTATAGAATACTAAGTATTATAGTGTATATAATACCAAGTACATTAGAGAGAGAAATAAAACAAGAGTTCCAGGGAAGGACAGGTAGATCAGGAAAGGTTTCTAAAAGGGATGGGATTTGACCTGAGCTATGAAGAAAGGTAAAAAGGGAGAAGGATGGCATTCTAGGTGGAAGGTCCAGCATCAGTAAGGACCCAGAGGCAGGAGAGCACAGTGGAGGAAGGCGACTGGGAAGCCATCCAGTTTGGCTAGAGTGTGTGACTTTTGGACATGTTCATAAGCATACAAAATTATTTCCACTTCAGCTGGATTTTTCTAATGATACTTAGGATAAATTAACGGGAAGATAATTCTCAGTATACAGACAGTTTGGTTTTCTGGCCCTTGTTTACAGATTATTTTTCTACTCAGACTTGGAAGTTTGGCAGGGTCCCAACAAGGGCCAAGCACCCATAGCATTGAAGATCTCTGGGCTTATCAACTTTCTCCCATCTGTTTAGAGTTATTGGGCCTATGTTTGGAAAAGAGGGAGGAAAAGGGGTGCTTTGGCTCCCTAACAAGAGACCTTGTTTTCCAGTGAAAACTTCCCTACTTTGTGTGCCGAAGTCTAGAAAATTATTTTTCATCAAGTAAATTATGGAGCTGGAAGGGGCCTTGGGAATCATCTAGTCCAGCTACCCGTACTTTACAGATGTGGAAATTGAGCCCAAAATCTTAAGTAGAACAGGGACCGTCCAACCAAGGCTGCCCAACCCCTGCTCAGTGTTTTTAATAATACTCAACACATGATCTTGTTTATCCTTCCAAATAGGAAGTGAAGACAGTTGGTTAATCATTATGCATTCAAATGCATTCACCATGACTCCACGAGGTAACATTGTTCTCACTTTGAAGGTGAGAAAATTGAAGCTCAGAGAGATGAGATTATTTGCCCAAGGTCAAGGCAGAGCTAGCAAATTTGTTAGAAATGGGATTTAAGCCTTGTCTCTAGGTAGTGAAGAATGGGAAAACTGGAGCCTAGAGAATCAAAGTGAACTTCCCAGGAAATGCGGGTAGTAGTAGTGGATTAGTTAAGGAAATTGAGTGATGCATTGTGGTTCAGTTGTTTTTGGTCATGCATGACTCATCATGACCCCATTTGGGGTTTTCTTGGCAAAGATACTGGGGGGGTTGCCATTTCCTTCTCAAGCTCATTTTACAGATGAAGAAACTGAGGCAAACATAGTCTAGTGACTTGCCCAGGGTCACACAGCTACTAAGTGTCTGAGGCTAGACTCAGGAAGATGAGTTTTCCTGATTACAAGACCAGTGCTCTATCCACTGTACTATGTAGCTGCCCCATTAAAGGATGGAGGAAGGCATTTTAAACTAAAAAAGACAAGGGGGGTTTACTTTGCTATAGAAAAAAACTGTTATTGTAAGATATATTTGTGCTTACTGTAACTAATTTTAGCAGCTGGCACAGTTGGTGAGCTTCTGGGAAGTCGTCATGGCCTAACGCTAAGGAATATAGAAAGGGATGACAGAGATAGTGAAAGCCAAGGAAAAACTGACCTATCAGGAAAAAAACAAAAGAACTTAATTCTTTCAGCTTGGATGAAAGCAAAAAAATTTTTTTAAATCTAATAAAAGCCTTGTGTTAGCAAGCTTTAAGCACCAAAAAGGAGGAAAAACTGAAAGTAACACAATGAAATGGAAGAAAATAATAGTCCATTTTGTAAAAGGTTGTCTTTGAGAGTTCACTATATAAGGTCAACAGGAAAGACGCCTACTCCCTCTTGGGTGGCTCCCAACCGTGGAATGTGGACATCACCAGTCTTTTCCAGCCAGTCCCTTTCTCCCCCACTGAGTCTAGACCTACTTTCTAACCACCTCCTCCAGCTCCACCCTGAAGAAGCATCTTTTCAATCCCAAGTGGAAAGGAACAATGGAGAAGAGTGGTCCAACCCCACTAAAGAGCTGCACTGCTATTTTCAAGCCCACGGTTTTAGTGCAGGGGAGAAAGAGGACCAGATCTACATAACCTGATCTTTCTCTGCTTTGGGGGAAATTACCCAAGTGTAGCAATTAATAAAACTCTTTTCCATATAACTCAGGAACCCCTGGTGGAGATAGGATCCCCAAGAATTGGACAGAGTCTCTGCTTTCTGCCCCATTCCACTTCTGTGACAATACACAGAAAGGCTTCTCCTTAACAGGATGGCATATTCATGTCTTCCCAACAATAACATGGATTAAATGGAAAGGGGCAACAAACTTTAAAGAAAAAGAAAACTTTGGAATTGGCATCTTCCCTCTTGGAAAGACATGGGAGGAGGGAACAAGTATTTCACTGTCTGATATCCCCTCCTGGGTGCCTTAGAAACAAAGGGTCTGAGGGCCACTCTGCTCAATGAGCTGAGAAGGGTTTTTACATTTTAAAATAAATGTAAAAACCCTTCTCAGCGCTCCTTTACAAAAACAGGTGGGAGGCTAGATTTGACTCGTTTGCTCACCCCTTCCACCATCCCGTCTGGCCTCTGAAGGCAGAGCCAGCTGAAGCCTACAGAGGTCTGGCAGGGGACCCCTGTCAGCCAACTCAACAGCACAACAAAACAAAAATACATGTTAACAAATCCCACCTAGTGCCTCAGTCTTCATAGTCCCCCTCTTGACTCACATCCCAAACTGCGGTCTTGCCATGGAGTTACCCAATTTAAATGTCATCCTGCTTGCTCACTTCTTGCTCATCCCAGTGAGACTTTCCTTCTCCTCTTCCTCTAGGATGAGGGAAGAGCAGACTATCTTTCTCTAAGGCAATGACAGCCTTATTTTGCCTAGTTTTGGGACATTCCCAGATCACCCAAGATGTGTGACATTTTAACAGGTTCAAGGGATGCAGTTTTGGGGTAATTTAATCATCTTACTAATAAAGCCAGCAAGTTACTAATAAAAGGATGGTCATTTGACTGTCTCTCTTAGACCAAAGACAATCATGGTGGCAGCATTCACAGTTTACATACCCTTCAGAACAGTAGGTGATCCATCAAAAACAATCAAATGTAATTGGCTACAGGGATCGGAGGTGGGCTATATTAAAAGGAAGGGCTGAGCATCTCTTGGATGGGGAAAGTATCTCTAAACCAGACCACCCATAGTTTTAGGCTATCAGTTCAAAGAATTACCCCACTCAGACCTGAGCAGAACACGATAGCTTCCACCAGGGTGGGGCCTTGAACAAGTGAGACCACTCTCATCATCAGTAACGTCCTTAAGAACTGAACTTAAAGTCAGGACTTTAGAAGAAGGGGAGAGCTCTGAATCTCTCCCCAGATTATTGGTTATTAATAATCATTTCTCACAGCTTTTGGGAGAAGACATTTTGCTATCCATCCCCAGGTTTCCACCCAAAATGTCAAAACTTTGGGTTTTACCCTTTAGTTGAAAGAGGGATAGAGGCTTAGATATTAGCGTAAGAACAAGTTCTAGGGGCAGCTGGGTGGTGCTGTGGATAGAGCACCAGCCTTGGATTCAGGAGGACCTAAATTCAAATGCAGCCTCAGACACATAACACTTAACTGTGTGACCCTGGGCAAGTCACTTAACCCCAATTGCCTAAAAATAAAAATTTTTAAATTTAAAAAAAAAGTTCCATTAATAGGGCATAATATTTGGAACCAAATTTATGGTTTACTGAAAGGGCAGTCTCCTATCTTGTTGGAAAGGCTAATTCTGGGGTAATTCTTGGAACTAGAATGACCAATAACATCTAGGATATGTCTTACAAAGCTGTTTTCTCTGCCCTGACAGGAAGTATGGATTGACTGGCTTACGGAGCTTACTGAATAAGCTGCATTCTGCATGCACAGCCTAAGCTTATAGGGTCCAACACATGTGTTCTGCCAAGGACAGGGGCTTGAGATCATCCTCCTTGTCTTACCAACAATTAGCATCTAAATAATAAAGACCAACTTTATTGTGGTTATGTACGTTTTAAAAGCAAATTTAGCTCAATAACTTCAAGATTTAGAAAATGTCTGAGGGCCATATGGATAATTTGATATATAAATCCAATATACAAATACAAACATTTACAAAATCTGAAATTTGAGAGATTTTCCCATGCAAATATTCACCAAGTGGATTTTTTTACATAGTAATAGCTCTCTTATTACATATAATGATCCAATTTTGAAAACTCCAACTTACATGAATACATTATGTAGAACAAGGTAAGGCACATTTTAATACTAGAGATAACGTAATCTTGAGACTATTTTAACCAAAAAAGCAAAGTTTGAGTGTACAGAAAGGGGCAAAACCCGTGATTTTAACCCAGCTAAAGTGCAGACATTCTTCCAAAGAATACCTTAATTTTTAACATCCCTGCCACTACAGCCTTGAATAAAGAAAACAGAAATGAAGCTCAGCTAGTGAACTGGATAAGGTTTTCAGATGATACAGATTTAAATCCATCACTAAATGAGGCAAATCATTTCACTTGTCACCTTGAACCTTATACATTATTTTCTCTCTCTCTGAATAAAATGAAAAAATTGAAAATCAAATCATTTTTATTGTTCCAGAACATTAACTTTAGCCTGTCATCTGGGAAAAAAAAAACAACATTTCTTTTTTGTTCCACTCCCCACTCCTGGGGTAGGAGAAGGAAGGTTGCTTTTGTAATCCGAAAAATTCTTTAACAAAACATGCTAGCATCACTCGGGTCCAGAATTTATCTAGCTAAGTTCTAACAGTGTCCTTTTGAGACTAGGTAGCAAATGTGTCTAAGGTTTCTAGTTTATTGTTAGGGAGAGAAAGGCACTTACTCGTTTTTCTCTCTGCATTCAACAGCAAATGATACAGTAGCTATTTTTGACTTATTCAGAGAATCCTAGATTTTCTTAAAAGGTGTTTTATCATTCTTTTCCCATGGTATTATGGTAAAATAGAACTACAATAACAATAATTCGTTGGAATCCTGTGAGCTTAACTGTGTATACTCAGCCCCAGTAATAACTTCAGCATCTGTCTGAAGCACTAACAGCACCAAGTCTAGTGCTCTGCGCCACGCTTCCCTCTTGGGTGTGACAACATCATAAACCCTTGAAGTTTCTTCTAGTCTACTAGGAATACCAGAATTTAAAACCCCACTAGTCACTTTATTATATTCTTTCAGAAGGTATAATAACGGACAACCAGAGTCTATAGTTTTTTGGAGAAAGTTTCGAATGAACGTACTGGCTTCAGTCTCTGAAGAGCAAGTACCCGTGTTACACACGACCGATGAAAGGTACCTGTGCCATCCATCGGCCAAGGCTTCAAGCACGGCTGGTCTATAAAGTGCCTGAGACGAAGCCATCCAAGAGGAAGTCCTGTGAAGTCGTGCTGAATGATCCTGGTCCATCTTTTTCTGTGATCGTTCTATCAACGTCTGAAGATGGGTGAGGCATAAGACTTCAACTGCGCCACCTCCCAGGAAGACCTTCTCATCGACCAGGGCATGATACATGCGGTAGGCACAAGTCCAGAAATGATCTTCTTTGGCTTGCATCTGTGCAACGACCGGGCTAGTGAGCACAGCGGTGGCCAGAAGGATTCCTTCAGCCTTGACCAAGACAGCCACCTTGTCGCTTATTTCTTTGGCGTTCAATTGGCCTGCTCTCCACAGGCTCACGTAGACATCACTCCCCACACACTCTTCATTCAGTTGTGTGGCATAGGTCACCCGCACTGCTCCAGTGACCTCGGCAAAATCCTGCAGCACGTGATGACTTACAGGCCCAATGATCAGCAAGTTCCTAAGCATACACCTTTCCATTACATTTTCAGACACATTTCCTCGCACCATGACCAGGTTTACATTTAACTGAATTAATATCTCCAAAATACAGTCCAACCACATCTTCTCTTGATATGTCAGACTCTCCAATTGAGTTTTAACATTTCCCAGCCCATTAAATCCCAAGTGGCGGTAATTCTCGCTGAAGTCACCATCAATGAGAGCCACCCGCAAAGGCTGATTCTGGAGTTCTCTGATGATAGCAATATGGTCTATTGACACTAGAGTGATATATCCAGAGAGGACACAAGAAAAGCTTTCAGGTATGCCTGGTAAACAGCAAGTGGAGATTTTTGAAACATCAAACCTAGATGGTGCTGTACGATTCCTCCTCACACACGCATTCTGATACTGGCATCGGACTGCTGCTTCCACTAAGGCCATGCTGCTGTGATCTCCATGACTCAGACCCATGGCCAGCTGCACCATGTCACTGCATCGAGGAACCCAAGCGTCTAGCTGTCCTTCGTCGCTTGTCTGGTAAGAGCTACTTTCTGCCCTATTAAAATGCCTGCTGTGGCTTAGTCCTGATTTTCTGGTGTGGCTATTTGGAATCAGATTGGTTTGGAGAGCCTGTGACATAGCTTTATTCCCTTTAGCTACAGACTGAGAACTGAAGTAGGAAGATCTAGAAGATAATTCAGAGGAGTGCCTAGAAGAAAACACAGCAGGGGATGGTTGAAAAGACATATCTTTTCTGTCCTGCTCCCTTTGGATCCAAGCAATCTCTGCTGGAATCTGCACAAGAGGGCTGGGAATGACGCTCTGCGTTCCAAGGAAAGGGTAACTCCTTGTGTGTCCCGTGTTACCAAGCATGTCATGTAGAGGGATTTCAAGAGGAACGACTTCTTCCCTGCAAGACATCAGGCCTTCTGACATCACTGACACTATGACCGAAATAGGGATGTCTTGCTGAAGGCACTGTAGGGCAGCCGCGCTCCACGCGCCGGCGAGAAACAACAGGGTGCTGGTCCCTGTCCCATATGCGCTCTTCTGAGACTGCACTGCTTCATAAAGAAGCTGTCCAACTGAACTAGTTAAATCCAGACTCTCAAGAAGCCTCACTGGAGAACAGGTTAATACACTTTCCCGAGCTCCTTCACCTATAATAAACTTGGACGACTTTACTGGGCCTAAGAAACTTCGTCCTGTTTCCGTTAATGATGACAGCTGCTGAAGGCCTACATGCTTCCTTCTGTTAACATCTATGCAAGCCATGACCATGAGTCAGTACCTCCAATGAAATAAGAGCACGTACCACCTCACACTCATTCAACATCAACGGCAGTTACAAATCCCACTGACTAAAAGAAGTCTGAACACAGGCTGCTTCATGTCGCCGGAGGCTGCGCACCGAGCCAGGATCCTGCCAACGGGGAGTCATCTTTAAATCTGAACGCACGTGTGGTAGGCGCTACCATCCACGTCTAAGGCACGCTCTCTCCATTTGCTAGTATGCTACTCCTGCTACATGGGAGTCTCTTCCTCTGACAGACTTGATAATGAGACCTTGATTACATTTCAGTGGAATATTCTCTTCTGTAAAGGAAAAGCAAAGACCATGTTTACTCAAATGAGTCAATGGAGTAAGAATAAACGAGCATTAAAAACCCCAATTTGCATCGGCAGTATGATAAGACTTTGATCATTCACGGCTCCTACATGTGTTAAAGAGCTATCAAAGAACATGGGATAAAGTGCTGGCCTTAAATGCAGCAAGCCACGGGTTCAAATCCAGCTCTGTAACCTGGCATAATAAGTTACTTACCCTCTCTCTATGTGCCTCATCCAGGCAATAGGTCATGCACAGGTTAAGATCTATTAGTGGAGAGAGTTCCCACACCAGGAGGCCCTATGCTTACGGCGCCATAGATCATTTATACATGTATGCATATGTAGAACATGCCGACACAAGAAATTACACAGATGACCGCTGGAAGGACATGTATGCATGTGTGTTTCCATTCACTGATGCACGTGTACCCCTACCACAAGCTTTTCCATCTATGTGAGTACACGCCCCTATGACCTGGAGCTGTAAGAGAAGGATTAGAGTTCTGCGGACCCCTCCCTCCTCCATCGGCAACGTTTACTGAGCACCTGCCACGAGGCAGGCCCTGGGCGACAGGAAACTGGGAAGAGCCTTCCTTAACGCAGGGCCTTCCCTCTGCGCCGCACAGCGCCGCCAGCCCCCGCACAGCGCCGCTGCTCTCGCACACCGCGGCTGCCCCGGCCAGGGCCTCGGCTTTCTTCTCCCTGGCTGGATGATGGAGACATAAGGACCGATGGTGGCAACACAGGGGTCCTGAGAGGCGCGCGTGCCTGCGCACGCGCACACTCACACACCCTCACACCCCTCCCTTGTGCTCACGTGGCTCTTTACACGCCCACTCCCCCGCACCTCCCCAGCCTTGGCACGCACGGCACACGCACGCACACCCCCACACGCCCCCGGGGTCTGACGCGTGCTCACTGCCTGGCCTCGGCGTCCCCGGGGCCTCTCCCCGCAGCAGGCCCGAGGTCCCGCCGTGTGCCCGCGTGCCCCCGCCGACCTCACCTAAGCCGCTCCGCACTGAGCCCACCTCAGCTCCCGCCAGGTCCCGCCGCTCCAGCAGCCAACCACCGCACCCCACCTCGGCCCGGACTGCGCATGTGTCCCCGGGGGCAGAAGCGCCGTCGCTAGGCAACCGGGAGGCGCCCCCCCAACAGCGTCGGTTAACTCGGGGCGGGGGTGGGCGCCGGCGGAGGAACGGCCGTCCGATTGGTGAAGAGCGCGCGAGTGGGGCGGGACCTCGGGGAAGCCGCCCTTCCATTGGCCTCCCGGGGACGGGGGCGGTGCGAGGCCGGGGGCGGGGCCGGCGAGGGAGCTCGCCCTGGCAACGGCGGAGCTGCGGGCAGACTGGGCGGCGGCGGCGCGGGTGTCGGAGCGGCTTCGGGCAGCGGCCGTGCGGGCCGGGCCGCATCTCCTGCACCATGGTGAGCCGGGGTGGGGAAACTGAGGCCCGGGGTGGGGCGGGGCCGGCCTCGGGAGGAGCCCTCCTCCTTTCCTGACCCCTTGGGGGGTTTTCTTGGCAGAGAGCTTGCAATGGTCTGTCATTCCCTTCTCCAGCCCATTTTACAGGTGAGGAAACTGAGGCAAGCAGGGGGAAGTGACTTGCCCAGGGTCACCCAGCTAGGAAGTATCTGAGGCTGGATTTCAACTCAGGAAGCTTTGCACTGTGGCGCCCCCTAGCTGCCCATAGCCCTCCTCTTACAGATGGGGAAACCAAGGCAGGCCACTGCGAAGGAACTGCCAGGGGCTGGATTCTTTTGCATAGCACTGTGCCCCAGCTCAGCCCTTCCACTTTGGCTGCATTTTGAATGTCAGCCTGGGCAGGCTCTGTGATTGGGTGGTGCTGGAGTCCAGGAGACCCCAGTTCAAATCCTGCCACAATCACTGGCTGAGTGACCCTGGAAAAGTCATGGAACCTCTGTATGCCTCTCAGGTAGTCATTGTAAAGTGCTTCGCCCAGTGCTTGGCCCAGAGTGAGTGCTATGTAAATGTCAGCTGCCATCATCATCACCATCATCATCACCACTATCATTATCACCATCATCATCTCCACCATCATCACCATCACTGTCGCCATCATCACCACCATCACCACCACCACCATCACCATTACCACTATCATTATCACCATCATCATTATCACCATCATCACCATCACTGTCGCCATCATCACCACCATCACCACCACCACCATCACCATCATCACCATCACCATTACCACTATCATTATCACCATCATCATCACCACCATCATCATCATTACCATCATCACCCCATCACCATCATTGTTGCCATCATCACCACCATCACCACCGCCATCACCATCATTATCATCACCATTACCACTATCATTATCAACATCATCATCACCATCATCATCCCCATCCCCATCACCATCATCACCACCACCACCATCATCATTATCACCACCATCATCATCATCACCATCGTGTCTGGGCACATGGCTGCACAGTGTGTGGTTCGTGCAGACACCAGAGGGAGGAGCTCTGGGGGTTAGGCTGGAGAAGCGAACACTCAGGGGGATGACAACATCGGAGGCCCCTCCTTGCTCTAACCACTGCTGATCCAGCCTGGGTTAGGGGATGGGGCAGAAGGAAGGGGTGGGGGTGGACCACCCCCAGGGAACAGAGGGAGGGAGTTGTCAACCTCAGGACAGCCTCAGGAAGCACAGAGGCATGGGGGTTGGGGTGGGGAGGAGGGCATTGAGCAGGTCATTTTGGTGGGAGTGAACAGTATGAGGGAGCGTGTGTAGTCATTGGAAAGAGAGCCTTTCAGGCAGAGTACAGATAAGTATGACAGAAGGAAAGGAAAAATCAATTAAAAAAAATCAAAAAGTTTAAAAAAATAGAAGAAAATATGAAATTTCTTATTGGAAAAACAGCTGACCTAGAAAATAGATCCAGGAAAGATAACATAAGACTTATTGGACTACCTGAAAGCCATGAAAAAAAATAAAGCCAGGGCATCATTCAAGAAATTATCAAGGAAAAATGCCCTGATATATTAGAACCAGAGGGCAAAAAAGAATCCACCGATCACTGCTGAAAGAAATCCCAAAATGAAAACTCCCAGGAACATCACAGGCAAATTCCAGAGCTCACAGATCAAGGAAAAAGTGCTACAAGCAGCCAAAAAGGAACAACTCAAATATCGTCGGAGCTACAGTCAGGATTGCGCAGGATTTGGCAGCTTCCACGTTAAAGAACCAGAGGGCCTGGACTATGATATACTAGGAAGCAAAGGAGTTATTACAACCAAGAATCACCTGCCCAGCAAATCTGAATATAATATTTCAGGGGAAAAATGGAGGACTTTCAAGCATTCCTAATTTAAAAGAACAGAGCTGAATAAAAAATTTGACCTCCAAATACAAGACTTAAAGGAAACATAAAGAGCTAAAAAAGAAACAAGAGAAAACATAAGAAATTCAATAAGGTTAAACTGTTTGTATTTCTACATGGCAGGATAATATTTGTAACTCCTAAGAACTTTATTACTATAAAAGCAATTAGAAATAGTAAATATAGACAGAGGGTTTGTATATAAGGTGATTTTGATAGGATGATATCCCCCCCCAAAACAAATAAACAAAATAAAGAGATGAGAAAGAAAATTGCACTGGAAAAAGAAAGGGGGGTGGGAGATTGAATTGGGTAAATTATCCCACAGAAAAGAGACATGAAAGAGCTGTTGTAATGAGGGGAAGGAATGGCAGGGAGGGAGTGGCAGACAAAGCGTAAACCTTACTTTCATCCAAGCCTAGTAATTATTTTATTTTGGGTTTTTTTATTAATTTATTTTGATTTATCAACAATCACTTCCATATGCTTTTGAGTTTAAAATTTTTCTCCCCTTCCTCCCTACCACCCTCTCCAAGACGGCACACAATCTGATATAGGCTATGCATTTACATTCCTATTAAACATATTTTCACATTAGTGGTGTTGTAAGTAAAAATTAAAATAATAGGAGGAACCATCAGAAAGAGGAAACAAAATTCAATAGGAGAAAAAAAAATAGCAATTTAACTTCCATAGTTCTTTCTTTGGATGTGGACAGCATTTTCATCACAAGGCCTCTGGAGATGTCTTAGATCCTTGTAATGCTGAGAAGGGTTCAGTTTATCAATATTAGTCATCACACAACATGGCTGTTATTGTGTACAAAGTCCTCTTGGTTCTGCTCACTTCACTCAGCATCAGACCATATAAGTCTTTCCAGGTTTTTCTGAAGTCAGCCTGGTCATCATTTCTTACAGCACAATAATATTCCATTACAGTCATATACCACAACTTGCTCAGCCATTCCCCAATTGATGGGCATCCTCTCCATTTCCAATTCTTTGCCACCACAAAAAGAGCTGCTATGAATATTTTTGTACATGTGGGTCCTTTTTCCATTTGTATGATCTCTTTGGGATACAGCCCTAGAAGTGCTATTGCTGGGTCAAAGGGTATGCACATTTTTATAGCCCTTTGGGCATAGTTCCAAACTGTTCTCCAAAATGGTTGGATCATTTCACAACTACACCAACAATGCATTAGTGTTCCAATTTTCCCCCATCTTCTCCAACATTTATCATTTTCCTGTTTTGACATGTTGGCCAATCTGATAGGTGTGATGTGGTACCTCAGAGTTGTTTTGATTTGCATTTCTCTAATCAGTAGTGATTGAGAGCATTTTTTCATATGACTATAGATGGCTTTGATTTCTTCATCCAAGAACTGCCTGTTCATATCCTTTGACTATTTATCAGTTGGGGAATGCAAGCCTAGTAATTATCCAAACAACCTGCTACTGAGTAAGAAATAGAGTGGTGGATCAGTGGAATAAATTAGGTACAAATTACATTGTAGTAAATGACCATAGTAATCTAGTGTGTGATAGACCCAAAGATCCAGGCTTTTAGAACAAAAACTCATTATTTGACTGCTGACTGGGAAAATTGGAAAACAGCATGTAGAAACTAGGTATAGACCAACATCTCACACTGTATACCAATGTAAGGTCAAAACGGGTACATGATTTACAGATGAAGGGTGATGCCATAGGCAGAGTAAGAGAGCAGGGAGTAGTTTATCCATCAGATTTATGGTTAAGGGAAGAATTTAGGACCAAAGAAGAGAGAGAGAGCATTACAAAGTGTAAAATAGGTCATTTTGATTATATAAAATTTAAAAGTTCTTGCGCAAACAAAACCAAAAGCAGAAAACTGGGAGAGAAAAAAATGGCCACAAGTATCAAATATACAGAGAACTGAGTCAAATTTATAAAAATACAAGTCATTCCCCAATGGATAAATGGCCAAAGGATATGAAAAGGCTGTTTTCAGACAAAGAAATCAAAGCCATCTATAGGCATATGAAAAAATGCTCTCAATCACTATTGATTAGAGAAATGCAAATCAAAACAACTCTGAGGTACCACATCACACCTATCAGATTGGCTAACATGACAGAACAGGAAAATGATCCATGTTGGAGAAGATGTGGGAAAATTGGAACACTAATGCATTGTTGGTGGAGTTGTGAAATGATCCAACCATTCTGGAGAGCAATTTGGAACTGTGAACAAAGGGCTATAAAACAGTGCATATCCTTTGATCCAGCAATACTACTTCTAGGTCTGTATCCCAAAAGCCTCCAAAAAAAGGGAAAGGGATTTATTTGTACAAAAATATTCATAGCAGCTCTTTTTGTAGTGGCTGAGAATTGGAAATTGAGAGGATGCCCATCAGTTGCAGAATGGCTGAACAAGTTGTGGTATATGATTGTAATGGAATATTATGGTACTGTAAGAAATGATGACCAGGCTGACTTCAGAAAAACCTGGAAAGACTTATATGGACTGATGCTGAGTGAGGTGAACAGAACCAGGAGAACGTTGTACACAGTAACAGCCACGTTGTGCGATGAAGAACTAGGAATGACTTAGCTATTGTCAGCAATGCAATGATCCGAGACAATCCCAAAGGGCTAATGATAAAGCATTCGGTCTGTCTCTGATATTGTCAGAATGCAGACTGAGGCGTGCTATTTTTTACTTTCTTTCATTTTTTTCTTTTATTCTAGTCTTCTTGTACAAAATGACTAATATGGAAGTGTTTTACATGACTGCACATGCATAACCTATATCTGATTGCTTACCATCTTAGGGAGGGGGAAAGGGCGAGAGGGAGGGAGGGATAGAATTCAGAAATCAAAACTTTCAAGTGTTAAAAAAAATTAAATAAAACACCTCATAGGTCATTTTGGAGCCCAGACACGACATTTCCAGGTTCAGTCGTCTAGAGTCAGGCAGAGAATCAAATAGAAGAAGCATCCCGGAGCCAAAGCTCAAACTGGCCTCAGGGGCCTCCTTGCTCCCCGTGCCCCAGAGGAGGGTGATCAGGGCGCTGCTGCCCGCCCACTCCACCCCAAAGGCCTGCAGTCCCAGAGTCACTCTCCTTTAATAAAGGTTCGCTGGATCATTGGCTCGTCTTGGGGAGATTGCTCCATCATCTCCCCGGGACTGAGCTGAGCCACCCAGGACAAGCCTGGAGCAAGCTGTCAGTTCATCGTCCCCAGAGCGTCCAAGCACTGAGTTAGCTGCGTGTTAGCCAGAAACAGCCAGGGTAGCTCTGCTGTAGCCCAGTAATCCAAGCAAGGGCCCAAGGACTGGAGCTGTTGTGGTGGCAGAGAGAGCGGAGAAGAGTAGGCCCAAGTAAGAAGTGTCAGAAAAGGTCTGCGAATCCTCCTGGAATGCTCCCTCTCCTCCACTTTCTTTCTTTTCTCTTCACTAAGCTCTTAGCTTGCTCTGGCTGAACCATGTCACTTATGGGAGAGTCAGTGTGATGGTGGTTGTAGGCCCCCATTAATCTCTCCTAAATGACCTTCTAAATGTCCTGAAGGCTTTGTTATGCTGGGGTGTGCTAGCATCGTCGTCACTGTTATCCCCTCTTAAAGGCATTTGAATTGGAACCCAGTTTAGTTATAGAAAGGGATCCTTGAACATGATTGTTTGCTTTATTTTTTAAGAACCTAGTCTGCTATTTAACTCTGGTTTTCTGGTGTCTCTGATGGATGGCGTTTAATTTAGACTTAGATCCTCTGTGTTTGTTTTTACAGGCATCTAACTATCGACCAAGTACCAGTCAGCGGAAGAAGCCTAACGTAAAGGTCGAACTGACTGAGGAACAGAAACAAGAAATCAAGGAGGCCTTCGACTTGTTTGATGTCGATGGGTCTGGAAGCATTGACGTGAAGGAATTAAAGGTTTTGAAAATTTCTTCCTATTCAAAAATTCTGAAAAGTCTTTCATTATGTGTAGTGTTTTCCAAATCTACCTTTATTGTTTAAATATTATAAATGTGTATGTGGGAATTCTAATGGCTAATGGGAACTTTAACATATACACAGCCTTCCTGGAAAGTGTTTGACGTGCTTTTCCTATTTCACAGGTGAGAACAATCTAGCCAGTTAGTTCAGTGATTACTCCCAAGTCCTGCTCTGTAAAGCAGAGGCAGACCAGGATAGGGTCCAAGTCAACTGACGCCATTTTTAATAGTGGGCTGGATCCAGCCTGATGATGAGACTCCGTGGCTGTAGCCAGGCCAGTCCTCAGTCAGATGAACAATCGAGCCCCAGACTCCATCACTCCACCTTTTCCCACTTAGTAGAACACACCAGAGCTATGCTGCCATGCTTTGAGGACCCAGGGTCACCCCCTCCTCATTGAAGTAGGACAACGGGACAGACACCACCGCCAGGTGAAATCCAGCATGACGAATTCTGGCTATAGCCATTCTTGAGAGCCATCTCCGGGGCTCTGGAAGGATGGTGAAGGCAGTAGCCACACTGATAAGATGACTGAGAAGTATGTTAGATGCACAAGACCACAGTGAGTGCACAGCTGTCTGCAAGGGATGTTTGTGTTTTTTTTTTAAAGAGAAAAATCAAGAGCTAATTTCAGATCAGTAAGAATCACAGCTAACTTCAGAAAGATATAATCTAACACAGCAGTGTGTTTCTCGTTTCAGATTGCAATGCGTGCATTAGGCTTTGAGCCAAAGAAAGAAGAAATTAAAAAAATGATTGCGGAGATTGACAAAGAAGGATTTGGCACCATTAACTTTGAAGACTTTTTTGCCATGATGAGTGTGAAAATGGTACGGTGTTGTTACTACTATTTTCAGAGTAAGAAATAACAATTTTAAAAATACTCCCCTTAAATCCTAACCTTTTATAAATGTTGTAATAAGTAAATCAGTGCCTGTTGAGAAGTAACTACATTTGAGCAGGACAGGACCCCAAAGATGGCAGCTCGTGTTTTAGCTGAGCAGAGCTCCTGAAACCAGCCGGGCTTATCCCAGGGTCGAGGAGAGGAGTCAATGAAGTATTTATTGCCCAAGGAAGGGTCAGTTTACTGTGAGCCAGCCTCCTGCTCACCTCAGAACGGGGCTTCCTGCACTCCCTCCTTTCTGAGCCGGTTTACCATACCCACCCCATTCTGAGATGACCCTCCTGGCTGGCCAGGCCAAATGCTGCTGGCTCAGTCCTGAAGGCCCCATCTTCCCATTTCCTGTGGAGCCTCAACGTCTCTTCCCTGGTCATCTCTCCTCCCCACGACTCTTTCTTCTCTGTCTCCAGACACACTTGGCTGTTCTTAAAAATGAAGCTGCCCCAATCCTCTCTCCCTTTGCCCTGCTTCCTCCCTTGAGACCCCATCTCTCTCTGCTCCTGCTTCTAGGAGTCTGCCTAAGATTCCCCTATTTGCTCACAGCTTCCTCGCTCTTCAGGCCCTTGTGACCTTCCGTTCCCCTGGCCCAACCAATGCCCTCTGGATTAGCAAATCTAATGACCATCACCCCCAGCCTCCCACTGACACCTGGGTCCTGCCCCCTCTGACATCTGGGGTCCTGCCCTGCCTCGGTAATTAACTGTGCCTGGTCCCCTTTGTCTTCTGTGCATTTTCTGTCCCTTCCACTTCTTACCATTGAACAAGAAAAAAAAATACCGTAGCAAACTCTTGAAGCTGTGGCCCCCCACAAATGTTTGGTTTCCATGCTTACGACTCTGAGCTTTCCTTATCTGATCATCACCTGCTGTCCCTGATCCTTGCAGCCCCCAGCTCCCTCCTGGGTCGCCCCTGCCCCGCCGAGGCTCCCCTCCTTCCTCATTTTGACGCCTCAGTGACCCGGCTCACCTGTGGGCTGCCCCCACCAACCCTGGGCCCTGCGTCACGCCCACCATCGGCTGTCTCTGCTCCAGTTCACGGGCCACCTGCCAAAGATGCTGGCCAGACCCCTGGTGCTCTTCTCACACCCGGGCTCTAATCTGAGTTACCCGGACTCGTTTTTGTGCCTTGTCATCCCTGCTAGATGTCAAGCTCCTCGAGGGCAGGTCTGGACTAAAGGATGCAGGTGGCTCACCACACTCCCGAGCGTGGCCCAAACCGAACCAAGGAAATGAACACACTGTTGAACAGAAAGCATTCCGTCTCAGAACAGGCCGTGTGCAGCCGTGGTCATCATCTACGAGTGTGTGACCTCTGTCCGTATTCGAGCTTGACCCCGCTGGTCTAGACCTCAGTCATCTTTGTCTCTGCCCCATCACCCCGCACAGTGCAGCAGGTGGTCAGTCAACAAGAATCCATTTAGTGCCTACCATGTGCCAGGCATTCTGCTGAAAAGCAAAAAGGATCGGTGCCCTCAGAGCACTTGGATTTTATGGAGGAGACCAGGTGGATGGACACGCGAGACATCCCAGGAGATGGAACCTCAGGGGGAGGCCTGAGCAGCTGGGGAGAAGGGAGAGGAAGGCCAAAGGTCTCCAGAGCGGGGTTCTTGCTCTGAGTCTTGGAGGAAGCCAGGGACTCTAAGAAGCAGAAGAGAAGGGGGAGATTGCCGGCGGCATGGGGGATGAGTGGGGATAGAGCGTTCTGTATGAGCAGCAGGAGGTGGGGGGGGAGCGCTGGTGCAGCTGGCCTGGACTGTGGGATGGGGCATGAGCCAGGAGGGGCCGCATCTGAACAGCTGTCCAGCGCGGTGGATCCCCAAGGAGTTCACCGAATGAGGGTCAGGCTGGCACTTCAGGAAGATGGCGCAGGTCGCTGTGGGGAGCACTGGTCGGACCTAGGAGAAGAGGCATCAGAAGGTTTTGTAATAGTCCAGGGAAGAGGTGACAAGGGCCTGAGTTGGGGTGGTGGCTTTGTGAGTGGAGAGGATGGGGACAAAGAAAGGACCAGTTTTTGGAACTGATGGCATTGTGGGATGAGTAAGTCAAGGATGTGGATGAGGTTGAAAACCTGGCTACCTTTGACATAGGAGGACGGAAGCTCAGGAGGCTGGGTTTGGGAGATGTTGAGGGTATTGTTGGAATCTCTGAGGAGGAATAGGGGTCGGGGTGTAGAGAAGGGAAGTGGGAAGTGATCGCTTTCAGGAGACGATCAGGACCAGCCGTCCTGGAGCAGACAGTTTGCATTAGGGGGTAGTGTCCGGGAAGGTTGCACAGATGGCGTGGGGCTTCTTTACTGAAGGCATTACGAGGCAGGCATCGGAGTTTGGAATAGACTTAATTGGACAACAGTGGACATTGATCAGCAAGATGGAAGAATAGTCTGCAAACTTCTTCAACCACCAAAGGCTTATGGGCCAAATGTAATTAATTAGCACTCCATCCTCAAGATAAGGTGACAGAACATCCCTGAGTAAAGTAGGAATCTTATGAACTAATCTAATAATGGAGAATTTTAATACTTAAACACTTGCCTAGTATCTTTGGTATCTGGTATTCTGGGCACCACCACTCCCACTCCCCCAAAAGCTAAGTCACAGGCTTCTGTGGGCCCAGCCATAGGGGAGAGACCCCCGTGGCAGCAGTGACGGTCCACACACCCCTTCCACCCTCACCACTCTGCCTAGCCCTAGGAAGGAAAGGAGGACTGGGAGGGGACTAATCATGGGGCTGAAATGGTTAGGGCTGAGGCTCCTGCGTGTGACCCCAGAGGAAAGCAAGGTGGGCCCAAATTGGTACGTTTAGAGTGTATCCGTAAGTATCCTTTCCCCTCTCAGTGCTTTGTGCTTGTGGGAGTCCGGCATACTCCTGAACTAAAGCAAGGACAGGTGCCATCGGTCTGGTGACTTGGACCTACATTTGACTGTTTTTTTCTTTTTTAAAGAGTGAAAAGGATGAAAAAGAAGAAATTTTGAAGGCCTTCAAATTATTTGATGATGATTGTACAGGAAGTATCACCCTCAAAAATATTAAGAGGGTTGCTAAAGAATTGGGAGAAAATTTATCAGATGATGAACTTCAGGTAAATGTGTTTTCTTTCTTAGCTGCATATCCTTGTCCTTTAGTGACCAAAAAGAGTTTCTTTGAAAACAAAGCTTCAGAAGATACAGGAGTGTATACCTCAATGCAAGAATGTCAAAGGTCCTGACTCTCCCTCCCCTTCCCAACTTATAAATGCTCTCTCTCGGCCCGTAGTAAGCCTAAAGAAGAGGGTGTGCGTGCCTGTGTGTCCGTGCCTGTGTGTCTCTTCAGAGAGGGTGCTCCCTCCTAGGAACAGGATAGAGAAAGGGCCCAAGTCTGAGGGTCTGCCAGATGTTGGCTGGAAGGGGCCCAGGTCTGGAGACAAGGTGGCGGAGCAATGACGAAGCCACACGGGGGAGCCAGAGAGCCGAGCCTGCGAGCCTGTGGAGCGGCAGGGCGGACCCAGCTGGGTTTCAGATTTTGTAACCGAGTCTTTGTTTTACAGGAAATGCTGGACGAAGCTGATCGTGATGGAGACGGAGAAATAAGCGAGCAAGAGTTTTTGAGGATGATGAAAAAAACCACTCTCTATTAGTGCTAATGCTTTTGTGACTGTGTCCAGAGGGTTCTCACTCTTTGTTGTTCTGTAATTTAATCCCTACGTGTTGACCGTCTCAGCTTGTGGGTTTCACCTTGGTGGCCACTGCTGGGGGCTCGAGAAGACTGGCTTCCAGGAACTCGACCGCACTCTAAGAGGCAGGATTCAGTAATTGCAAAGCCTAGCTTGCAGACCCCGGGTTAAAGACACACGACTTTCTTTCTTCCCTTTCCTCATTGCTCCGATCCAGGGCTGTAAATGCTAACAGGCCAGAAAAGATTTCCCACCAAAATTCCCCGAGGAATACATGAACTTCCGCTTCTCTTTCTTTGCATAAATGTCAAAGTAGACAGTGAGCTTTTTGTTGTCATTAAAAATAGTTGTTTGTTTGTAAAGAGTGTGAAATAAAACTATACTGCAAGGATACTCTTATCAAGCACTGATACTTAACCATATTTTTTTCTCTATAAGAATAAAAGTTTAGGAGTAAGACGCTGATTGCCTTAGTTTTGTAAAATATTAGATTCTTTTTTTTTTTTAGGCAGTTGGGGTTGACTTGCTCAGGGTCAGGCAGTGAGTAAGCATCCAGCGTTTGGTCTGAGGTCCTCCTGACGTCAGGGCCAGTGCTCTATCCAGAACTATTAGGTTCTAAAGAACCTTCGACATTACCTAGTCTAATCATCTTTTCCACTTACAGCTGACATTTTGCAGATGAGGAATTGGGGGCTCAGAGAGGGTACTGACTGTCCCGAGGTGACGCAGCATGACGCAGTGATTGAGCGCTTACTACGTGCCGGGCGCTCTGTTAATTGCTGAGGATACCAAGAGCTGAAGGCATGGGAGGACCCCAGTCGGTCTTCACGACATCCATGCCCACAAAGCTTCATTTTTAAGTGTGTAAATTGCTTTCGGCTCTTGTTTAGCTCGCCCCGCTTTTTCTCAGTGATCTACATTGGCTGTTTCCAGATGGTACCATCCTCTGTTCACATAATACGAAGAACAGCAAATGAGTGAGGCAGCAGTGTGGAATAGCAGTCAGGCTGACTGGCGATGCTGGAGATCTGAATTCAGATCTTTACTCTGTTGCCCAACCAGCTAGACTTTGGACACGTTGCCTTACTTCACCTTCACTGGCAAAATGAGGGCGTTCATCTAGATAGATGACTCTCGTCCCCTTCATGTGCTAAAATTCCTCTGACCTGCCTGGAACCACTAAAATCCACGCATCCTCCACTGGAACAGCCTGGCAACCCATCTACATTTATAGGTCTGGTTGCCAAGGGCCCTGGGACTTTAACTCAAACATGGTAGTATGGCGCGGACACTTTAGAGGCAGGATTTGAACACAGGTCTTCCTGACTCCATCATGGTGCACTGCCTCTTACCCACGTGCCTCTTCTACTCATTAAAGTCATTGTCCGGTGATAATGTTGCACTCCTGGCCGGGCTAATTCATGCAAATGTATCTGCTGACTCAATTCCAACAGTTGCAGGAATCTAAGAAGTTCTTCATCTTGGGTCTCTGTTGAACCCTCAGGAGGCATCACTGGAGATTAATGCCCAGAGGGTTGAGGAGCTGTGTCGTGAATGGTTTGCTGTTGTCCAGTCCTCCAGGGCAATGAGCAGGGAGGCTAGCCCATGTCGACACATGCCCTTCCCTCGTTCCTGACAGACTTGACTGCCGCAGTTTGCCAAAAGGAGGGGTGTAGGGGGCAGCACTAGAGCAGAGGAGGCGCTGTACTTTGGAAGTCCTCTGCTAAGTCCAGGCTGGGATGGCTGTGGCGAGCCTCGAGATATGACTCCAATCAATGCTCAGCAGTACGGATGATTGCTGTAGAACACAAAACAATACCCTATCGAGAAATTAGATGCCTGTGCAGTCATGTTTCGTCTCCTCCAACAATCCATTTACAGAAGCCTCAGAATGATCAGAATTAGATTGGAAAGGACCCCAATACCTGCCTAGTCTAGCCCAGGGAATCAATCTCTTTTATAATAAATGTGCCTGACCAGTGGCCATACAGTCTCTGTGTGAAGACCTCCGAGGAAAAGGAACCCGCCACTCCCTAAGGAAAAAAGAACTCTAATTGAGCCTAAATTTGAATTTTTTCCTTCTCTATTTGCTCCTGCCATCTACCCTCTGCGGTCACACAGAACAAGTCTAACGTCCTGTTCCATGTTATAATACATAAAATGCTTGAGCACAGCTCACATGTCCCCCCTGAATCTTCTCTAATCTAAACAGCCCTTCAGTTTATTTTATGCAGTCCTTCAGGGCAATGGGAGTGTTTGTTTGATAGGGGCTCAACACCTGGGGGCCTCCTCTGGATGCGTTCTGGCTTATTGATGTCCTCCTACTGCTGTGATATACAGAGCTGAGCACAGTACTTCAGATGTGGTCAGAGTACAGAAGAACCATTACTTCCTTATTCCTGGAAGCTAGGCCTCTTTTAAAGCAGCCCCAAACTGTAGATGTTTTTTAGCAGCCACATCACACTGCTAATTCGCGTGGAGCTCACAGTCCATTCAAACACTTGGGTCTCTTTCAAAGCATGGCTGTCTGACCACATCTCCCCCAACCACTACCTCTGAAGTTGATTTCATCTTCATTTTATTAGATGTAGGCCAAGTTCCTAGCCCATCAAGATCTTGGAGGCTGATCCCTCCCAGCTTTGTTCCCTCTAACCTTTCATTCAATTCACTGCTCAAAATGTTAAACAAGACAGGACCAGGCGCAGATCCCTGGGGCGTGCCACTGGAGCCCTCCTCAGAAAATACCAATGAACCATTAATAACTACACTTCGTGTCCAGCCATTCAAACAGTTGCAAATCCATACACTGCTAATATGTTCTCTAGTCCATATTTCTCCATTTTCCCCACATGAATAGCATGAGATGTCATTAGATGCTTTGCTAACTCTAGGTGAACTATGGCATTCTATTTAGTAACTCTCAGAAAATGAAGATGCTAATCTAGCATGGCTTATATTTGATGAAGCCATGATGGTTTCTTTTTTTAAATTTTTAATTACTTTTGAATTATCAACAATCACTTCCATAAGCTTTTAAGGTTTTAATTTTTCTCTCCCTCCCTCTCCACCTCCATCCCCAAGAGAGTGCGCAATCTGATATAGGCTATACATATATATTCCTATTAAACATATTTTCACATTAGTGATGTTGTAGGTAAGAATTAGAACCAATAGGCGGAACCACCAGAAAGAGGAAACAAAACACAACAACAAAAAAAAAATCAGCAAATAGTCTGCTTCGATCTGCATTCTGACTCCATAGTTCTTTCTCTGGATGTGGAGAGCATTTTCCATCATGAGGTCTTTGGAGATGTCTTAGATCCTTGCTTTGCTAAGAAGAGCTAAGTCTATCAATATTAGTCATTGCACAACGTGGCTGTTACTGTGCACGACGTTCTCCTGGCTCTGCTCACTTCCCTCAGCATCAGACCGTACAAGTCTTTCCAGGGTTTTCTGAAGTCATGATGGTTTCTTAAATGGCGATACTACTTCTATTTCCACTTCCATTGATAGTCACCCAACAATACCTAGCAGTATTTTCTAGGTTCCTTTGGGGAGTATCACTTGCATCCCCACAGTAATAAGTCTCTGGAGGTTCCCCAACAAATGGGACAAAGTAAAAATGAATTGGGCATGCAAGTAAAAAAAAAATTAGAAAAACAAAAATCAAAAATTTCAATCAGACATAAAAATAGAAATTCTGAATATCAAAGACAAGATTAACAGAATTGAAAACAATAACAAAAAAATTGAACTGATAAGAGCTTTTTCAAAAAAAGAAAAAACGACTAGTAAAAATAGATAAGCAATTAGCTAATTTGATAAGAGAGATCAAATTGCCAATATGAAAAATGAAAAACGCAATAGATGAAGAAAAAATAAAGGAAATTATTAGAAACTATTATGCCAAATGATATTCTACTAAAGCTTAAAAGCATAAATAAAATGGGTAGGTGTTTACAAAAATGTAAAATATCAAAATTAGTGATGTGAAACAGAAAATTTAAATAACTCATTCTCAGGGGAAAATTTGAATAGCCATAAGATAGCTCCAAAAGAAAAATGTCCTAGGACCAGATGAATTTACAAGAGAATTCTATCAAAAATTCAAAGAACAATTAATTACAATATTGCAGCAGTTGCAATATAAACACATATGTATACATACATACACACATATAAACATATTATGTATACATACATACACACATAACATTCTTTAAAGAAATATAACCAGGCTTAAATACTTGGAGAGGCAATAATTGCTCATGTTTAGGCAGTGTTAGTATAATAAATATTATAGTACTTACTTCCTAAATTAATTTAGAAATTCAATGCCATACTAATCAAACTACCAGAGGATTTCTTTATAGAATTAGAAGGAATAATAACAAAATTCTATGGAAGAAAAGATGGTCAAGAATCTTGTGAAATAATGAAAAAAATGGGAAGGAAAGGATCCAAATATCATTAGATCTTAAATGATACACAAAGGAGTACTGGTTGAAAAATGGAAGTTGATCGGTAGAACTGATCAGGCATATAAGACCCAGAAACAATTGACCGTAACAGCACAATGTTCAATAAGCCTGAGGACAGCAGCTACTGACTTAAGAACTCTCTAACTGACAAAAATCAAAAGCCTGCTAAGAAGACTGATAAGCAGTTTTGGCAATGAATAGTATCGCGTTCAATACATCATAACAAGATCCAAGTGGATACATGACCCAGAGATAAAAATTCATATCATATACAAATGTGAGGAGCAGGAAGGGAGACACCTTTTATAAATACAGATCAGGGAAGGATTATTTTCATGTCATTTTTTTAAAAAAATAATTGATTTAGTTTTAGTTTTCAGCATTCACTTCCATAAGATTGAGTTTTAAATTTTCTCCCCCTCCCTCTCCTCCTCCCTCTCCAAGATGGCACGCAATCTGATATAGGCTCTACTTACACATTCATATTAAGTTTATTTTTCACATTAGTCATGATGTATTGAAGAATTAGAACTGATGGGAGGAAGCACGAGAAAGAAGAAATAAAAGAAAACAACAAAAGAAAAGGAGAACAAATAGTATGCTTCCATCTGCATTCAGACTCCATAGTGTTTTCTCTGGATGCGGATAGCATTTCCCATCATGAGTCTTTTGGAGTTGTCTTAGATCCCTGAATTGCTGAGAAGAGTTAAGTCTATCAAAGCCAGTCATCACACAATGTGGCTGTTACTGTGTACAATGTTCTCCTAGTTCTACTCATTTCACTCAGCAGTTCAAATAAGTCTATCCAGGTTTTTCTGAACTCCACCTGCTCATCATTTCTTATATCACAATAGCATTCCATTACATTCATATACCACAACTTGCTCAGCCATTCCCCAATGGATGGGCATCCCCCTC